TCTGAATTTCGCTGCCTCTACTGCACCCCTGCTGCATGTATGGTCTCTGCTGTATCTCTACTGCATCCACAGACTCATTTTCCCCTTGACTTCCCTTCAGGGCTGCTGTTAGAAACCACAGGGCCCCTTACAGCCAACCTGACAGCTCCCCCTCAAAAAAAAAAAAATGCAGTCTAAAATCCCTCAGTTATGAATGAACACAATGAGTGAAGAGTGCCAATTACTCAGTGTGTTCATTCAGGAAAGAAAGGGGCTGGTAAATGTGACACATCTGCTGGACTCTTCCCCCACTCTTCATCCTGAAGGATCCTATTGTGTGCTTGCAGCTGTTGATGGGAAGGAGAGGATGGGAGCTGGAAGCTGGAAGCACTGTGGGGGTGGGGGCACACAGGGGGGGGGGGGGGCCTGGGCAGCAAGGGGAAACATATGGTGCACAGGGAGGGTGATAGATGTGGTGGGGGGGGGGGCAATTACTGGAACCGATCCCCTCTGTGGCTCTCCCTGCAGCAGCTGTAAGCCAGTGGGAGGTAGAGGAGAAGAAGCCATCTTTCAGTTGCTGCAGACAGAGCCATGCAGGGTATCGGATCCAATAATTGCCCCCCCACCATGCCGAACACCCTTCCTGCCCACATTTGATTCACCCAGCTGCCTGGTCCCCGTACAGGAGGACTGGTGGTATCCCTTTGTCCACAACCCTGCTTCCCTTCAGCCTCCATAGTCTTGGTCTCTACTGCATTCAATCTCTGCAGCACCACCTCTGAACCCTCAGTTTCCACTTCATCCACAGTCTGAACCTGGACTACACCCAGTGCCAGGACAAGGTCCTCAGGCGCCTAATGCAAATGATGTCAAAATGGGGCTGAGACAGGTGGAGCTTTTATATTGGTAGAGTGGTCGGAACAGAACAGGGACCATAAATGACCACCACTGTGCACCGGGCCTATGTTTGACACCTTCCGGTCCATGGACAACCGAAGGGGATGGAGGGGAGATGTTGTGGCACGGCTTTCATTAACACTATTGGAACCAATTTTGGTTTCCTCTGTAAACTAAAGTAGTTTTTAACTCTTTGAATGTGCAACTTTTATTGTGTGATTTGTTTCTCTTATATGGCCAGTAGAATGAAATTTGTGGTAAAGAGTATTGTTTGGTCTGCTTTCGTTATGTGACGGATCACTGGGCTGCCAACCCTCATGCTGGTCTTCAGCCTTGACTCCCCTCCCTGCACCTCCTGCTCTGGATATTACAGGTAGGGAAGCGGAACAGAGAAATGTTCCACAACTAGCAGGTCACACATGTAAAGATTCATGTGTCCAGGGCCTGGCCAACCCAGACAGATCCCTGAGAGAGCATTGTGGTGGAGTGGGCACAACTCAGGAGTAAGTCTCTTCTGTTTCTGTTCCCCGGCTGTCTCCTGCCAATCTCCCGGTATAATCAACAGGTCCATGTGATGGCTCTCCCATTGTAATCGCTGGGGCTCCCCTGTCCACATAACAGTAGTTCCTGCACTTTATCAGAAGCTCCTGAGGACAACTGTCACACAGACAGTGGAGGCCCATTGACTACGATGGGAGAACCATTGTATAGACAGTGAAATACCATTGACTAGAATGGGAGAGCCATCACACAGTCAATGAAGCCCCATTGTCAATGAAGCCCCATTGACTATGACGGAGGAGCCATTACACAGACAGTGGACCCCATTGACTATGATTGGAGATCCATTACATAGACAGTGAAGCCTCATTGACTATGACGGAGGAGCCATTACACAGACAGTAAACCCCATTGACTATGATTGAGAGCCATAACACAGACAGTAAACCCCATTGACTATGATTGGAGATCCATTACATAGACAGTGATATGATGGGGAGCCAATACACGACAGTGAAGCCCATTGACTATGATGGGAGATGGGTGAGCCCCATTACTATGATTGGACCATTACACGGACAGTGAAATCCCATTGACTATGATGGCAGAGCCATTACATAGACAGTGAAGCCCCATTGACTATGATGGGGGAGCCGCTTGACAGTGAAGCATCATTGACTATGATGGGGATCCATTACATAGACAGTGAACCCCATTGACTATGATTGGGAGCCATTACACAGACAGTGAACCCCATTGACTGTGATGGCAGAGCCATCACATAGACAGTGAAGCCCCATTGAGTATGATGGGGGAGCCGCTACAGACAGTGAAGCATCATTGACTATGATGGGAGATCCATTACATAGACAGTGAAGCCTCATTGACTATGATGGGAGATCCATTACATAGACAGTGAAGCCTCATTTACTATGATGGGAAGCCATTACATAGACAGTGGGCCCCATTGACTATGATGGGAGAGCCATCACATAGACAGTGAAGCCTCATTGACTATGATGGGGAGCCATTACACAGACAGTGAACCCCATTGACTATGATGGGGAGCCATTACACGGACAGTGGGCCCCATTGACTGTGAATGGAGAGCCATCACATGGACATCAACTTCTCATTGACTACAATGGAAGAGCTGTTACATGGACAGCAGCAGAGCCCCGCTGATTACAGTAGGAGAGCCATATGACAGCAAACAGAGCCACGTTGATTGCACCAGGACTACCTAAGGTACTGAGGTGTTCCTCTACAAATACAGGACCTTTGTACCTCCACTGCCCACTGCAACATGCACGCATCTCTGCTGCAGTATTCCTTGCAACCTCCGCAACATCCACAGTCTCAGCTGCAGTAACTCTTGCACCTCCACTTCCCTTTGCAACATCCACTAGTATATTCAGTAGCCACCCTTGCGCCTCTGCTATATTTAAGCAATATCCTCAGTCTCGCTGCATTTCTGCTGCACCCCTGCTGTATTTACTGTCTCTGTTGTATCTCCACTGCATCCATAGACTCCTTTTGCACCTTAGGTGCCCACATAGACTGTGAAGCCCTGTTGACTACAACTGGCAGAGAAGCCTTAGCCATCATCACATAGACTGAAGCCTGTTGAATACAACGGGAGAGCCATCACATAGACTGTGAAGCCCTGTTGACTACAATGGAAGAGCCATCACATAAACTGTGAAGCCTTGTTGACTACAATAGAGGAGCCATCACACAGACTGTGAAGCCCTGTTGACTACAATGGAGGAGCCATCACACAGACTGTGAAGCCCTGTTGACTACAATGGAAGAGCCATCACATAGACTGTGAAGCCCTGTTGACTACAATGGAAGAGCCATCACATAAAAACCTGTGAAGCCTTGTTGATACAATAGAGGAGCCATCACACAGACTGTGAAGCCCTGTTGACTACAATGGAGGAGCCATCACATAGACTGTGAAACCCTGTTGACTACAATGGAAGAGCCATCACATAGACTGTGAAGCCCTGTTGACTACAATGGAAGATCCATCACATAGACTGTGAAAACCCTGTTGACTACAATGGAAGATCCATCACACAGACTGTGAAGCCCTGTTGACTACAACGGGAGAGCCATCACATGGACAGCAACTTCTCATTGACTACAATGCGAGAACTGTTACATGGACAGTGGAGCCTCCTTGATTACGGTTGTAGAGCCATAAGGCAGCAAACAGAGCCATGTTGACTGTACCGGGACTCTTTACAAAACACACGAGTCACAGAATAGGTGTTGGGTGAGTTATAAGACACTATGTAAGCCTCCTGGGGCTCCCAGAACAATGACACCTTGACACTTGGGGGGTCTCAGAACAATGACACCCTGACATAGAGGGGCCAGAACAATGACACCCTTAGGGGCCAGAACAATGACACCCTGACACTTGGGGCTCCCAGAATAATGACACCCTGACACTTGGGGGGTCTCAGAACAATGACACCCTGACATAGAGGGTCCAGAACAATAACACACTGATACTTGGGGGTCCAGAACAATAACACCCTGACACTTGCAGATCCAGAACAATGACACCCTGACACTTGGGGCTCCCAGAATAATGACACCCTGACACTTGGGGGGTCTCAGAACAATGACACCCTGACATAGAGGGTCCAGAACAATAACACACTGATACTTGGGGGTCCAGAACAATAACACCCTGACACTTGCAGATCCAGAACAATGACACCCTGACACTTGGGGCTCCCAGAGCAATGACACACTGTCACTTGAGGGTCCAGAACAATGACACCCTGACAGTTGGGGCTCCTAGAACTATGACACCCTGACACTTGGAGGTGTAGAACAATTACACCCTGACACTTGGGGTCCCAGAACAATGACACCCTGACACTTGGGGTTCCCAGAACAATGACACCCTGACACTTGGGTGACCAGAACAATGACACCCTGACACTTGGGGCTCCCAGAACAATGACACCCTGACACTTGGGGCTCCCAAACAATGACACCCTGACACTTGGGTGACCAGAACAATGACACCCTGACACTTGGGGCTCCCAGAACAATGACACCCTGACACTTGGGGCTCCCAAAACAATGACACCCTGACACTTGGGGACTCAATGACACAAAAACAATGACCCCCTGACACTTGGGTGACCAGAACAATGACACCCTGACACTTGGGCTCCCAGAACAATGACACCCTGACACTTGGGTGACCAGAACAATGACACCCTGACACTTGGGGCTCCCAAAACAATGACACCCTGACACTTGGGGCTCCCAAAACAATGACACCCTGACACTTGGGTGACCAGAACAATGACACCCTGACACTTGGGGCTCCCAAAACAATGACACCCTGACACTTGGGTGACCAGAACAATGACACCCTGACACTTGGGGCTCTCATAAACAATGACACCCTGACACTTGGGGCTCCCAAAACAATGACACCCTGACACTTGGGCTCCCAAAACAATGACACCCTGACACTTGGGTGACCAGAACAATGACACCCTGATACTTGGGTAACCAGAACAATGACACCCTGACACTCAGGAATGTGAATTGAATTATAGTCATTAATACATCATAGCTATATTTAGTCAGAAATCAAACGCAGAACCACTTAAAGGATAAATGACTAGTTTATTGAGACATCGGCCTTTGTACAAGAGGCTCCACGGTAATGAACAGTCGGAGTGGCTCAGCTGTTTCTTGCAGAAGACGGTGTTGCAGACCACGGTCAGAGAGTCCAACAAGGTGACAAACTCCTGAAAGTCCACCTCCCCATCTCCGTTCTTGTCTAGTTCCTTCAGGATCTTGTCCACAGAGGTGGCGTCTTTCTGCTCCTAGAGAAGGAAGACATATTTTTAACCAACCAATCTTTTTCCACCTCTGCCCGGTCCCTGCCTGTCTACATTAGACCTAGATTTAATTCTGTAGGCTCCTGAATCAAAGACTGTGTGTGGGACTTGCTTTAGAATCATTAACTCAATATCCAGGTATTGCAACATTTTTCAAAAACAAATTAACCCAAATGATTGCCCAGCTGTACACGCCCCATCCAATTGTGTCTCACCTCAAGATACTCTCCAAGCTCGTTCTGTAGAAGATCTTTCAGTTCCCTCTTGCACAGTTTGTGCTTGTCACCTTCCCGAGCGGAATATGTGTGGAAGACATCGATAAGCGTATCCATGGCCCTTTCCAGTTTTGACATCTTGGGATGGTTAGGTCAGAGGAAAAGTCGATGAGTCAAAGGCTGGATGGGTGTACCACCAATGATCAGAAGCTGGAAGTTCTAATTGCGACTGATTATCTAAACATGATAGAGCAAAATATATGTTTTATTCAGATGGAGGAGTACGAAGATCCCAAAACCAGAGAAAGTTGGTTGAGTACATGTGGCAATGAACCAGGAAGATGCTGAGGACTAGAGACATGTCGTATGATTGTACGATCAATAAGCAGACATTCAGAACAAAAGTTTTATGTGTCTCTCTATGAACGATTAATGGATGGCCCAAAAAGAACCCAACAACTAAACACATAGGATAAGAAACCATTTCCTTCAGTTCCTTCTTGCTCAATGTGCATGGTTATGGTCCTTATAAGCGTATCCATGGCCCTTTCCAGTTTTGGCATCTTGGGATGGTTAGGTCAGAGGACAAGTGGACGAGTCAAAGATTGGATGGGTGTACCACCAAAGATCAGAAACATGGAAGTTCTAACTGCGACTGATTATCTAAACATGATAGAGCAAAATATATGTTTTATTCAGATGGAGGAGTACGAAGATCCCTAAACCAGAACAAGTTGGTTGAGGACATGTGGCAATGAACCAGAAAGGCGCTGAGGACTAGAGACATGGTTGTGGTCTTACAGAACGAACAGGAGAATTAAGGAGGTTTATATTGGTGGGTGGTGGTTTGTTGATGAGGACCGAATTACAGTTATTTGAATGTTTGGTGGAACGGCGGAATTTAAGAACATTGACACTTCGGATGAAGTTTTCAGTCAGAGGGGAACAAAATGTTCCCAACAAATGGGACCCAAGGATATTGAGCCATTTTGGTGAGAAAATAGAAAGAAGTTATGAATATTGGTTTACAGGACAAAAAAAGTTTGCCCAAAGGTTGGATCGGTTGATGTGCAATGAAACATCTCCAGCTTTAAATAACAAGTTCAGTAGAATGTGAATAACTAAAACTAACTAACTACTCCGTGACCTGGAGAAACGAGACCTTCATACCTTCAAAGACAGAGTTTGGTGTTTTACGGGAGAGAGGACATTTGCAGAAGCAGAAGAAGATAGATGAATAGTTGGACAGAGTGAAACTAGATAGATGGTCAGATAATGAGCAGAAGTTCTGACCATCAGTTGTGATTGGCTGCCTACAAGCAAGACCCAACATATGTGAGGAATCCAAACAAAGACACATATATAAAGTGTTGTAGTGTTAATGGAGAAAAGAAAAGAGGAGAAAGGTTGGTGTTAGGGATGACTATCAGTTGTGGTTGGCTTCTACAGGAAATGACCCAACATACAAGAGAAATCAAAACAAAGACACAAAAAATAAAGAGCTATTATGTCCACGGAGAAAAGAAAAGAAAAGTTGGTGTTAGATGGATGCCAGGATAAGGTGATTTGGAGAAACATAGTATGATGAAATGAATGGGTGGATAAACAGACGGAGAACTGGATAGATGTTCAGATAATGAGCAGAAGTTCTAACCACCAGTTATGGTTGGCCATCTACAAGCAAAGACCCAATATATGTGAGGGGATCCAAGCAAAAACACATAAAATAAAGAACTGTTATGTACAGTGAGAAAAGAAAAGAGGAGAATGCTTGGATGGATGCCAGGATAAGGTCATTTGGAGACACATTGTACGATGGATGGACGGGAGGATGGATGGAGAAACAGGTGGAAAACGGGAGAGATGGCCAGATGATAAGCAGATGTTTTGTCAGTTGTGGTTGGCCGTCTACAAGCAAAGACCCAACAAGAGTGAGGAATCCAAAGACACGTAAAATAAAGAGCTGTTGTGTACATCGAGAAAAGAATAGAGGAGAAAGGTTGGTGTTAGATGGATGACAGGGTCAGGGTAAGGTCATTTGGAAAAGTATAGTATGATAGATGGATAGGTGGATGAACAGATGGAGAACTGGATAGATGGTCAGATGATGAGCAGAAGTTCTGAGCACCAGTTGGCTGTCTACAAGCAACGACCAACCATATGTGCGGAATGAAATCAAAGATACATAAAATGAAGAGTTGTTATATATTAGGGTCAGTAGGAAAGAATTATCCTGTTTGTGCTCATGTAAATGTAGAAAGGAAAAGAGGAGAAAGGTTGGCATTAAATGGATGCCAGGATAAGGTCATTTAGAGAAGCATTGAATGACGGATGGATGGAGAAACAGACGGAGAACTGGATAGATGGTCAGATGATGAGTGGAAATTCTTACCATCAGTTTATGGTTGGCCGTCCACAAGCACAGACCCAACATACGTGAGGAATCCAACCAAAGGCACAAAAGAGTTGTGATGTAAATGGAGAAAAGAAGTCGAGAAATGCTGATGTGAGATGGCTGCCAGGATAAGGTCATTTGGAGAAACATTGTATGATGGATTGACAGGTGGACAGATTAATGGAGGATTGGATGGTCAGATAATGAGTAGAAGTTCTGAGCACCAGTTATGGTTGGCAGTCTACAAACAATAACCCAACATAGGTGAGGATTTCAAACAAAGACACGTAAAAAAAAAGAGTTGTAATGTTAATGGAGAAAAAAAACTGATAGAGAAAAGTTGGTGTTAGATGGATGACTATCAGTTGTGGTTGGTTTCTACAAGAAAGGACCCAACATACCAGAGGAATCCAAACAAAGACACATAAAATAAAGAGCTGTTATTTCCACGGAGAAAAGAAAAGAGAGGAGAGAAAATAAGTTGGTGTTAGATGGATGCAAGGATAAGGTCTTTAGAAGTATAGTATGATGGATGGATAGGTGACAGACAAAACTGGATGGATGGTCAGATAATGAGCAGAAGTTCTGGGCACCAGTTATGGTTGGCTGGAAAACAAAGATGAATAAAATAAAAAGTCAGATAATGAGCAGAAGTTGTGATCACCAGTTATGGTTGGCTGTCTATAAGCAAAGACCCAACATATGTGAGGAATCCAAACAAAGACACATATATAAAGTGTTTGTAGTGTTAATGGAGAAAAGAAAAGAGGAGAAAAGTTGGTGTTAGGTGGATGACTATCAGTTGTGGTTGGCTTCTACAAGAAAGGACCCAACATACAAGAGGAATCCAAACAAAGACACATAAAATAAAAAAGCTCTTATGTCCACAGAGAAAAGAAGAGGAGAAAGGTTGGTGTTAGATGGATGCCAGGATAAGGTCATTAGAAGTATAGTATGATGGATGGATAGGTGGACAAACAAATGGAGAAATGGATGGATGGTCAGATAATGAGCAGAAGTTCTGAGCACCAGTTATGGATGGATGTCTATAAGCAAAGACCCAACATATGTGAGGAATCCAAACAAAGACAAATAAAATAAAGTCTTGTAATGTTAATGGAGAAAAGAGGAGCAAAGTTGGTGTTAGATGGATGATCATCAGTTGTGGTTGACGTCTACAAGAAAGGACCCAACATACGAGAGGGATCCAAACAAAGACACATAAAAGAAAGAGCTGTTATGTACACTGAAAAAAGAAGAGGGAGAAAGGTTGGTGTTAGATGGATGCAAGGATAACGTCATTAGAAGTATAGTATGATGGATGGATAGGTGGACAGACAAATGGAGAAATGGATGGATGGTCAGATAATGAGCAGAAGTTCTGAGCATCAGTTATGGTTGGATGTCTACAAGCAAAGACCCAACATAAGTGAGGAATCCAAACAAAGACACATATATAAAGTGTTGTAGTGTTAATGGAGAAAAGAAAAGAGGAGAAAAGTTGGGGCTAGGTGGATGACTATCAGTTGTGGTTGGCTTCTACAGGAAAGGACCCAACATACCAGAGGAATCCAAACAAAGACACAAAAAATAAAGAGCTGTTATGTCCACGGAGAGAAAAGAAGAGAGGAGAGGAGGAAGGTTGGTGTTAGATGGATGCAAGGATAACGTCATTAGAAGTATAGTATGATGGATGGATAGGTGGACAGACAAATGGAGAAATTAATGAATGGTCAGATAATGAACAGAAGTTCTGAGCACCAGTTATGGTTGGCTGTCTACAAGCAAAGACCCAATATATGTGGGGAATCCAAACAAAGACACATAAAATAAAGACTTGTAATGTGAATGGAGAAAAGAGGAGAAAAGTTGGTGTTAGATGGATGACCATCAGTTGTGGTTGGCTTGTACAAGAAAGGACCCAACATACGAGAGGAATCCAAAGACACATAAAAGAAAGAGCTGTTACGTACACTGAAAACAGAAGAGAGGAGAAAGGTTGGTGTTAGATGGATGCAAGGATAAGGTCATTAGAAGTATAGTATGATGGATGGATAGGTGGGACAGACAAATGGAGAAATGGATGGATGGTCAGATAATAAGCAGAAGTTCTGAGCATCAGTTATGGTTGGATGTCTACAAGCAAAGACCCAACATAAGTGAGGAATCCAAACAAAGACATATATATAAAGTGTTGTAGTGTTAATGGAGAAAAGAAAAGAAAAGAGGAGAAAAGTTGGGGTTAGGTGGATGACTATCAGTTGTGGTTGGCTTCTACAGGAAAGGACCCAACATACCAGAGGAATCCAAACAAAGACACAAAAAATAAAGAGCTGTTATGTCCACGGAGAAAAGAAGAGAGGAGAGGAGGAAGGTTGGTGTTAGATGGATGCAAGGATAACGTCATTAGAAGTATAGTATGATGGATGGATAGGTGGACAGACAAATGGAGAAATTAATGAATGGTCAGATAATGAGCAGAAGTTCTGAGCACCAGTTTATGGTTGGCTGTCTACAAGCAAAGACCCAATATATGTGGGGAATCCAAACAAAGACACATAAAATAAAGACTTGTAATGTGAATGGAGAAAAGAGGAGAAAAGTTGGTGTTAGATGGATGACCATCAGTTGTGGTTGGCTTGTACAAGAAAGGACCCAACATACGAAAGGAATCCAAAGACACATAAAAGAAAGAGCTGTTACATACACTGAAAACAGAAGA